TTCCGGGGCGGGGGGCGGGGCCCCAGCGTCGGCAGGACTCTACTTCCGGGGCGGGACGGCCGGGGCGCGGCGCGCTGTCTCCCGGCCTGTCTGGAGCTCGGCGGCTGCAGAGGCGGCTCGGCGCACTCACCGGCCCGGGGAGCGGCATCATGAGCGGTGAGTGGCGGCCCCGCCGCTGTCACCGGTCCCGGCCACCCCGGCTCCCGCCGCTCCAGCTGCACACTCCGGCCCCCGAGTTCCCGCGCCGCGCTGGCTCGCAGACCCCCGCCCCATCACTCCCTGTTCCCTGACCCCTGGCCACTGGAACTCCCGGTCCTGGCCCCTGGTCACCTGCAGTTCTGTAACCTCCTGCGGCTGGGCACTCCTAGTCCCCTGGCTCCTGTCCATCCATCAGTTACAACCAGCATGTAGGTCCCTGTCTCCAGTCCCTCCCAGCCTTCAGACCCCCTTGCCCAGTTACCAGACCCCAGTTCTGAGACCTCCGGTCCCTCTTCACTTCTCGACATGCGACATGCTGAGTCCCAGCTCTAGTTCCCGCCCCCCTGCTCCCCAGTCATTCCCTCTACCCAGACCCCTTGTCTCCAGTCACTCCGGTGTCCACAGAGGCAGAGAGTGTCTCTAGACACTCCCAGTTTGCTGACCCCTGAACCCTGTGTCCCAGTAGCTCCTGGTCCCCAGAGGACTCTCAGTTCTCCAACTCTTTTGTCTTCCCCGTCCGTTTTATTCCCTCTACCTCTGTTCCCCTGTGCTTTGCTGTTCCAGTCCCCAGGTTGTCCCCAGTTACCCAGTCAGCTTCCCCCTCCGGTCCTTGTTTTTACATTTCGATTGTTCTTTCACACTCTTGCCCCTTCCATTTCCTATCTTAGCTCATCGTTTAAGATTTGTCTTGTCCTGTCCTGCAGCCCTTCCCTTCCTGCCCAAATGCTTATCCCGTTTGGGGACCGTCGCTTTGCCCTTGCCCTTCCCAGTCCAAACTTCTCCCTCCCATCAGCGAGGGGGTGGTTTTGGTGAGGAGACTGGAAGTGAGAGGGAGGTGGGTGTGGACAGCTCGTGCTCGGTGTTGCTGAAGTTTAGTCCCTTGACTCTGACTCGGTGTTCAGCCTCCTTTCCTCTGAAGAGTATTGGGGGTGTTTTGGTGCTAAGTCATTCTTGGGTGATGTATGTAGAGATGGGAGTGACTCAGGGAAGCCTCTCAGCTGCCCCTGATTGTTTTTCCAACCACTCTGGGATCTGGATTTACTTAGGAGGACCCGCCTACCCTTCTGGTGCCTGTTTTTCCTTCACTGTGGAATTGCTCCGAAGAAACCCTGCATCCAGCCCTAGCCTTCCACTCAGGCATTTCTGGAGGTTGAGAGGGGGGCAAGGTGAAGGGGATATGTCTCTCTTCAGTTTTAATTTTTAAGTTGCCTCTGTGGATCTTTTTCCTACCAGTATATGCTATGCAAGAGCAAGATTTGTGAAATCGATGGCCCTAATGAGGGGGCTTATGAGGGGGGTTTCCTGGGAGATAGTCAAATCTGTTTGTTTTGTTGCCAGAGCAAATTATTTGGGGCTTAATTGAGGTTTTTGATCCTTGAACGTTAGTGATATCACAACAAAGACATCACGAACTGGCTTCCACCAGGAGGTGAAGTAGCTTGATATAAGTGCGGGCCCTAGAGCCAGACATCCTGGGTTCATATCCTGGCTTGTGCTGCATAATGATGTGTGATTAGAGTAAGTTACTTGAACATTCGGAAAGTCCCAGCAAAATGGAGATACATAATAGTACCTGTCTCCTAGGCTTGTTGTAATGAGTAACACCACTCAGGTAAAGTGATTGGTATTGTGCCTCTCACATGGTACATTGTCAAGAATTTAGAGCTGTTGTTGTTTCCTTAAGGACCTATGTGGGGTGGGGGTAGGATTGTTTCTTGGCCTAGTTTGGGACAAGGGCTGGGTCTAGGCACCCTCTGAAAAAATCTTCCTTTTAATGTGACCAAGGAGTCTCTGCCATAAGCCCACAGTTCTGGACCATTCTTTCTTCTGCCTTCACAGGAAGACATAAAATTGACAAGCCAAGGGAAATCGGTCAGTTTATCTTTCAAGACGCAGCTTAGTATCAAAACTCAGGAAATTTTAAAATTTAATTAAATAATTCGGTCTAAAGTCAAACAAATTATGAAAGGAAACCAACAAATGGCTTTTTAGGAAAAAAGTATTAAGGATGAATGCCTTCTTTTGGAAAGGTTGTAATTGAGGCAGTAAAAGTGGTCGCTGAGGGTGGAAGGGGAAGTCCAAAGATATTTTTAATCGTTTCTTTAGAATGCAGTTTAAAGTGGGTTTCCCCAACTGTGGGATTGATAATTGACAAACGATAAATCAATGTGGCATGGAAATATTTCCTCTCTTTCTTATGTCCCTTTTTTTAGAATAGAAAATTTCAAACATAACGAGAGTGGACAGGATAGTGTAATGCACCCCCATGTGCCATCACATGGCTTCCACAGTTACCATTTAATCTCATGACCATTTCATCTATATCCCTACCTACTTCCCACCCCTCTCCCCAGGCTATTTTGAAGCAATTCCAAGATACCATATCATTTCATCTGTAAATACTTTATTATGTATCTCTAAAATGCTGGATCTCCTTTTTAAAAACAACTCAATTCCATTGTCATACCTGTAAGAAATTAGCAATAATTCCTTAATATCATCAAATATCCAATCAGTGTTCGAATTACCATGATTCTCTTATAAATAATTTTATTTTACAGTGTACTTTTTTAAATCTAGGATTTGATCCCAGTGCTGACCAGCACCACCACCCCCTCCCCTCCCAATAAATAAATCTAGGATCTAAGTAAGGTTTACACAGTGCAAATTGGTTTGTCTTTTAAGTCTTTTAAATCTCTCCCTCACCTTTTTTTTTTAGTTTATTTTTTAATTTTTTAGTATATTCACAGAGTTGTACAAACATCACCATAATCAATTTTAGAACATTTTCATTACCCCAGAAAGAAATACTGTCCCCATTAGCAGTCACTCCTTGTTCCTCCTCCCCCCTGCCCCTGGCAACCACCAATCTACTTTCTGTCTCTATGGATTTGCCTTTTGTGGATATTTCATGTAAATGAAATCATATAGTCATGACCTTTTGTGTTTGGCTTTTTTCACTAAGTAAAAACATGCTCAACCATATTGTATGATTTCTGTACTTCATTCCTTTTTGTGGCCAAATGATATTCCATTCTATGGATAGTGCACATTTTGTTTATCTGTTCATTAGTTGATGGACATTTGTTGGTTATAATGAATAATGCTGCTGTGAGCATGTACCTATAAGTGGGAATGTGTTTTCATTTCTCTTGGGTGTGTATCCAAGAGTGGAATTGCTGGGTCATGCGGTAATTTTATTTACCATTTGAGGAGGTGTGTCAGACTGTTTTCCCAAGTGGGTGCTCCATCTTACTTTTGCACCAGGAGTATATGAAGGTTCTAGTTTCTCCACATCCTCACTAACAGTCTTTTTGATAATAGACATTCTAGTGAGTGTGAAGTATCTCTCTGTGGTTTTGATTTGCATTTCTCTAATGACTAGTGAAATTGAGCATCTTTTCATGTGCTTATCGGCCAATTGCATATCTTCTTTGGAGAAATGTCTATTCAGATCCTTTGTCCATTTTATAATTGGGTTTTGTTTTTATTTTTATTATTACTTTTTTTGGCAGCTAGCCAGTAAAGGGGTCGAGCTCTGGACCTTGGTGTTATCAGCACCGTGTTCTGATCAACTGACCTGACCGGCCAGCCTGTATGTCTTTGTTTTTGAGCTGTGAGAATGTTATGTAATTTCTGGATATAGGTCCCTTATCAGGTACACATATTTACAAAAATGTTCTTCTATTCTGTGGGCTGTCTTTTCACTTTTCTTGATGGTATCCTTTGAAGCACAAAGTCTTTTCTTGAACTACAGGTTCCCCTTTCATCTCTCTCTTTTTTTCTCCCCTTGCAATTTTTGTTGAAGGAAACAGAGGCAGTAAGCTAAGGATCCTTTGCAAGATTTTGCTGATTGCATCCTTTTGGTTTGGCTTAACGTGTTTGTCAGTCTCTTTTATATCCTATAAATTGGCAATTAAAGTCTGCTGTATTTTTGAGTTGAAAATGTTTGAGTAGAGTCAGAGGTCAGATGGGTTTAAGGCTGAATTTATTAAGTGCAAATAACCAGGAAGTAGAATGGCCCTAGGTGATGCACACACAAGATAAATGGGTATCATGAGGCCAGAAACATCTAAGATGACCATTAATAGGGGAGTAGATAAATATAATGTGGTATGGTCACGATGGAAAACATGGATTTATACACATCACTGTGGCTATATCTCAACATTAATGCTCTTTAAAAAAAAAAAGGGTGCAGAATTATACCTATAATATATACTTTGATGCAAATTAAAACGTACAAACCAGACAGAATTTATGGATTCATATAGGTATGTAGAAGTAAACAAATTGTCAGGAAGATACCTGCCAGACATTATGGGTGGTGTTTTAGGGTAGTAGTGGTCACAATTTATTTGTTTTTCTTTTAAGAATTCAGTAGGTAGGAATACTTGATTGCCAGCCTCTTCAAGCTGGGGAACGCAGGTAACGCTTTTGCTCTTACTGGGAACATAAAACTTGTAGGGTCAGTAAGTCATTATTATTCTCAAGCGTTGTCTTTTGTAAGACTTTGTACTTGAAGATGCTTGGTGGAACTTTCCATCAGTAATTATTCTTTCAGGAATCCTTCTGAAATTAGAAAGACACTGAAATTCCTGTTTCAAGGGTGGGGAAAGCCAGGCCCAGGCGAGAGTTTTGGGCTTAGTGGGTGATTTACTGCTGTTTCTTGCTTGTTTTTTATGTACATTTTGGCAGCTTTTTATTATTTTTCTGGAGTGTTGAAGGTCATGGCTTTCTCCTTGGCATTGACTGGGCTCCCTAAAGCAGTGGCTTATACTTGGAATAAAGGATCAGCCGAAATGGGTGAGTGGAAGAATATTTGTGGTTTTCGTTCAAAGCAGAAAAGTGATGCTATTAACATTTTTTTTCCCATCATAAAGGCACTGGGTTGATCTCTTAAGGTAGAACTGTCAGCAAACATTTAACTACCACTTATGCTAGCAATTGGCAATGGACTAAATCCCACTGATATTGATTTTCCTGCTTCCTTGTTGCATGACTCTGTTTGGGTAACCAATAGGAAGTCAAGTTCTTAGTTCCAAATTTTAAGAGTTGTCTCTAAAATTCAAGATTTGATGGGCTTCTCTGAATTATGGCAATCTGAACATAATTCCAGATAAAGCACGTACATCTTGCATCTTGTCCATACATAGGCCAAATTTTTTTTTTTTTTTTTTTTTTTTTTTTTTTTTGTCCGTGTCCGGCAACGGATCGCAACCCTCAGTGTTGCCCCCGTACCGGACCGGGGACCGGCGACGGGATCGCAAGCCTCGGCGTTGCTCCCGCGCCTCGCTCAGCCAGTGAGCGGGAGCCGGTCTGTACATGGGATCCGAACCCTCGGACGGGAGCGCTGCCGCGCTTCCCAAGCGGCGCACTATCCAGTGCGCCACCGGGCCATAGGCCAAATATTTTTAATGGGGGTGAAAATTAGTCCTCAGGGGAGATGAAAATGTACTCTTATGTATAAAGCACAGACATACATGTTGTACATAAGCAGATATGCATTATATCTGTTGTATTAAAATTTCATGGAAGAGGTGATTAGGAAAAAAACATCTGAAAAGGATTCTAAGGGGGAAGATGATGAAAAACAGATTGAGAAATACTGACACAGGCTGAAGTAATTTTCTTTTTTTTTTTTTTTGGTGGGTGGCTGGTACAGGGATCGAACACTGGACCTTGGTGTTATCAGCACTGTGCTCTAACTACTGAGGTAATCAGCCAGTCTACTAGGTTGAAGTAATTTTATCATTATCATATAGATTTCCATTTTGCTCCCACCCTAACACTTCATTTACTACATTGCTACCTGGGCTTCTTACTGATCACTTTTATGGACTGCATAATCCATCATTAAGCCATCATTTTGTATGAGCACAATTTTTAAACTGTTGACTCTACTTGTAGAAACTTAGCTTATCTTCCTCCTTTCTTCTTTTTTTTTTTTTGGTTCCTGTTGTAAACAATGATGCAGTTAACTTTTTTGTGCACTGTAGCTTTCCTTCCTGTAGATTATGTCCTTAGGGTGATTTTCCAGAAGTAGCATTAACATCAAAGCGTTAATCACTCTCTACTGGTTTTTTTTTTTCTTTTTTTTCTTTTTGCCAATGAGTTTGTACTTTTAAAAAATGCTACAGGAAGTGTGAGGATTCCAATAGTAGCAGAGACTGGCCGGAAATTCAGGGTTCGACATTCAGCAAACATTTATTGGATGACAATTTGATGCATCCTCTGTCACTTATCAAAGGACTGTACCATTGGTATTTGTTGAAGCAAATTGAATGAACTTACTAGAAAAGGCTTTGCTGGAGTATTGCCAGGTGTGTTAGCCAGGACTCTTTGCACGTGAATGTGGCGGAAGCTGATCAAACTGATTTCAGCAACATGGGAATTTATAGTGTCTTGTAAAGAAAAAGTCTAGGGATAGTGCTGGCTTCAGGCTCAGCTGGACTCAGGTGCTAAGGGAGTCATTGGGATTCTGTCAACTCTGCTTTGCTCATTTGCAGGTAGCCTCTCCTCCAAGATGGTTACCTGCAGCTCTTGGACCACATCCTGAACCATAGCAGCACCTGAGCAAAGAGTGGGCCTCTTTCCTAAGTGCTCCAACAAAAGTCCTGGGGCTGACACACAGAGGTCTGCTGGTCACAGAGTCATCCTGGAACCCATCACTATGACTCTAGTTGGCCAGATCTGGATCGTAAGCCCAGACCAGAGCCCAGGGTTGGAGTCTGTACTACTAAATTGTCTGGGTGAAGGATGAATTGAAGGGTATAGGCTGTTGTAATTCTGGGTGGGGTGATCTGGAAGGCCTTACTGGGAAGGTGAATCTGAGCAGAGACCTAAGTGAGGCAGGTGACTCCTAGGTTTTGCTCCTGAGCAGCTGGAAGGGGTAAGAATTGCCTTTTACTGAGGTGGGAGAGGCTGTGGGGGAGCAGGTTTAGGTGAGAGGTGGAGCAGTTTGAAGCTTACAGGGGCAGTGAGGACCCTTTTCTTGCCCTGACTTTTGCTTGCTGATCAAGGGAACCTTGCCCACTCCCCCGTCATTTTTCTTTGCCTGTGTCTGCGTATCTTGGAATCTGTTCTTTCCTCCCCCAACTTAAAAAAATTAAAAAAAGGCAAAAAACCAAAATGACATTAAAGTCTATTGTGAAAACATAGACTATACCTATAAATATACCTTCCTAGCACATTAAATATTTAGATTTTTAGGTATTCCACTTCTTTGTTCAAAGCATATATATGCATTTTACATAATTGCATTAAGGCTACATCTGAATTAGTGTTTCCACTTACATTATAGCATTTATCCATGTTCCTTCTCTTCACAATTATTAAAAAAGTCTGCATAACATTCTGCCAAATTGATGTACTGCAATTATTTAAACTTTCTCCTGTTTTAGCAAGAGAAAGTAAGTTCCGTTTACAGTGCTCTACCATGGGACTGACAGACGTTTCTGTGAAGGGCCCAGTAGTAAATATTTTCTGCTTTGTGGGCCATCTGGCTTCCCCCACAAGTACTCAACTCTGCTCTTGTAGTATGAGAACAGCGTCAAGCAATCCACAGAAGAAAGGATGTCTGTGTTCCAATAAAACTTTATTTAGTAGGCTGGCCAGTTAGCTCACTCCATAGAGTATGGTGCTGATAACATCAAGGTAAAGGGTTCAGATCCCTGTACTGGCCAGCCTCCAAAAAGAAGAAAAAGCAAAAAAACTTTATTTAGAAAAACAGGCAGCAGCTGGATTTGGCGTGGGGTGGGGTTTTAGTTTGCTGACCCCTATTCTAGGACACTACATTAAAAATCTTTGTGCCCATGATGCTATGCTCATGCAGTCATTGTGTTGTAGTGGAAAAAGCTTTGGATGAAATCAGTCCTGAATTTAACACTCTAATGAAGAATTTGGGCAAATTATTGAACTTCTGAGTCTTTTCAAAAATTTATTTGTTTTTGGTGGCTGGCCCGTAAGGGGATCCGAACCCTTGACCTGGGTGTTATAACACTCTGCTCTAACCAACTGAGCTAACTGGCCAGCCTAAACTTCTCTGACTCTTAATTCGCTCATCAGAAAATGGGAATTAAAACAAGTGATGAGTGTATAGTGCCTTACTAAGTACCTGGAAGATAGAGAGACTTGGGGTTATTTGTTCCTTTTTTGATTTTTCCCATTCTTTCTTAGCTTAATTTCCAAGGTGTCGAAAAGGTATTTTGATATTTTTGTAGCTTTGGTATGCGCTGCCACATTGCTTTTCAGAATTTACTGGACAAATATATTGTTACCAGTGATATGTACCTGATTTACCATTGGTTTACCAGCATTGGGGAATTTAATTTTAAATGTTGCTTGGCTAATTTAGTAGTTATATAATGGTTCCATGTGGTGTTCATTAGTAAGTGTCTCATTTGCATTTCTCTAACAATGAGGACAGTTTCTCTTTAAAGCATTTACACACTGCTGTTTTAGTGTATTTTCTACATCAGGGTTTGGTAAAATGAGCCACCTGTTTTGTAAATAAAGTTTTATTGGAACACTGCCACACCATTCATTTACTATTGTCTATGGCTGTTTTCAAGCTATAATGGCAGATCTCTCTGTAACAGAGATCTTACATATGGTCTGCAAAGCCTAAAATATTTACTGTTTTGCTCCAGAGTAAATTGATGGTCCCCATTCGTTGCTCATTTGTGAATCTTCTGTTGACTGGGTCTTTGATCTTAGATGTCAGAAGCCCACGTGGATGGCTGAGCCCATCTATTTCGAAGCAGATCCTGCCTCTTTTCATTGTGTGGTGGTGGACAGTCTGTCCTTTTGTCCTGGCCCAGCTGTGCCACTTTACTCCACAATACTGGGAGCCACTGCCCTGACTTTGGGGAAAAATGATTGTCCATTTTATCTGGGCACGTGCTCATGTTTGAGCAGACACAGCCAGTGCCTTGTTCTGTGCATTACACACTCAAGGCAGCCACCGTGTCCTGGCCCATTCTGATCCTTTCCTTTTAAAGCAGCCACTTGGGGAACCATAGAAGTGAACCCCACTAGAGTCTCGATTCAAGATTTGTCAGTTTTTTTCTTTTTTTGGGTGGTTGGCCGGTATGGGTGTCTGAACCTGTAACCTTGCTGTTTATAAGGCTGTGCTCTAACTGACTGAGCTATTCGGCCAGCCGATGACTCAACACTTGTTGAGTTCCTTCTGTGAACACCGGCTCCGTAAGGCTCCTTGCCATCCCTGAGAGGGCTCACAATCCAACGGAGGACAGGAGCTGGTTTATGATTGCCTATAATCTTTCCATGATGGGATTATTCCAGGCATGGTGCGGCTGGAGGGCCACAGGAGCACAGTGTAGAGAGCAGTTTATTGTGCTCATGGAGGATTCTCAGAAGTCTTCTCACAGAAGTGTTCTCAGAGATATTTGAGCCAGCCAGAGGTTAGTTTTCTTTGGTGGAACTTTGCAGAGGGAGCCCTTTTTCTGTGCTGAAGTTGAGCAATCCACAGGGTCAGCTTGGTCTTGTGCAGGTTGGAAAGCATGAGCTTTGGGGTAGTATGTTGGGTCCACCACCTCTGAGCTATTCTTTGGGCAACTGATCAACGTCTCCAGGCCTCAGTCCCTTCATGTGTTACTGTGGGTCTGCCAGCACCCCCTGTATAGGCAGATGTGAAGGCTGAATGTGTATTTCACAATGGCAAATTCATGGCAGGTCTGGCCCCTAAGTGTGTTGTGTTTGGTTTATGCAGAGTAGGCTGCAACACTGTTCTAAACAGAATATAATTAAGTGCCAACTAATTGAAATGAAAATCTGGATTTCCA